CTCCGCCTCCCAAGTAGCTGAGACCACAGGCACCCGCCACAATGCCCGGCTATTTTTTGGTTGCAGCCGTCATTGTTGTTTGGCGTGTCCGGGCTGGGGATTCGAACCCGCCACCTTAGGTGTATGTGGCTGGTGCCTTAGCTGGTTGAGCTATAGGCGCCGAGCCTTTAGCTGCTTTTTTTGAGACGGAGTCTCACGATGTGGCCCCTGGTAGAGCGCCGTAGTGTCACGGCTCACAGCAACCTCAAACTCTTATGCTTAAGAGATTCTCTTGCCTCAGCCTCCCAAGTAACTGGGACTACAAGCACCCGCCACGATGCCCTATTTTCTTTTTAATTTATTATTTTTTTTTTATTGTTGGGGATTCACTGAGGATATAAGAAACCAGGTGACACTGATTGCATTTGTTAGATAAAGTCCCTCTTACAATTGTGTCTTGCCCCCCCAAAGATGTGTCACACACTAAGACCCCACCTCCCTCCCTCCTTCCCTCTCTCTGTTCTTCCTTTCCCCCACCCCTCCCTGTGATTCTCTTGCCTCAGTCTCCTGAGTAGCTGGACTACAGGTGTCAGCCACAACGCCTGGCTATTTTTTCTTCCAGTTTGGCTAGGGCCGGGTTTGAACCCACCACCCTCAGTGTATGTGGCCGGCGCCCTACTCACTGAGCCACAGGTGCCACCCATGGCTATTTTTTTGTTGCAGTTGTCATGCAGCTGACCCGGGCTGGGTTCGAACCCACCAGCCTTGGTGTATGTGGCCAACACCCTATCCACTGAGCTACGGGCACCGCCTTTAGCTGCTTCTTATAAGTGGTAAATTACTATCGCTATTTAAGCCACACAGATACATCTCCAAAATGCTTTCCTGCACTTATCACCCTGGGGCGTTTTAAAACCAACAGAGTATCTAAAGCATAAGCAACTCAGTACAAAACAGTGATGTCTGGGACAGGGGGCTGCAGGTTCGTAGTTCTATGCTTTTCCTCTTTCCCCCTCTGCCTGCTACAGTACAATCTGAGAAAAGTTTTACAGAGTATATATTTTCTACATTTTTAGGTAGAATAAATTTTTCTTTAAACTCTTCTCTTATAACCTTTCCAGAGCATCACTATCTTAGAAAGCTCTAGGACTTGGCTCGACGCCCGTAGCTCAGTGATTAGGGCACCAGCCACATACACCGAGGCAGACGGCTTTGAACCTGGCCTGGGCCTGCTAAGCAACAATGACAACTGCAACAAAAAAACAGCCAGGCGTTGTTGCAGGTGCCTGTAGTCCCAGCAGGGAGGCTGAGGCAAAAGAATCACTTAAGCCCAAGAGTTAGAGGTTGCTGTGAGCTGTGACACCACAGCTCTCTACTGAGGGTGACATAGTGACACTCTGTCTCAAAAGAAAAGAAAAAAAAATTCTGGGACAGATAAACTGTAGGACTTAAACAGTAGGGACTTTCTTATGCTGTTTAACTTTAGGGCTCCCATAGTTAGGACATGCAACATTTAATGAAGTTTTTCAGTATTAGGCCATGTCAGGGGTCACTAAAGTCTATGTAGGGAGGACTACGAGGAAGCCCATGTGAACAGCCAGTCTCCACACTAGACAGGTGACCCCAGACCCCCACTACTGATTCATGTAGGAGCCATCTACTAGTCTGGTGCACCTCTCCCTTGGAATCACAGGGCCTGAAGGAGAACCAGCCAACCCAGCTGACAACCCTGCTTGCACCTGGGCCTCTCTGTTCCATCCTTGGGCTGTTCTAGGAAATCAGAGATAGACCTCGGTAATCCTATCTCAAGCTCTAGTTTTAGCTGGACAGCCATAAACTTTACGGATATGAATGAAACAATGAGCTATTTTCCAAATGCAGGTGCCTGGGGACAGGGAGCTAGATGGTCTGAGACTAACCTCTCTCAAGCCAAGGCCATTGTGAAGCTGGAAAGAGGAGGCAAGCACGTAATCAGACATGTCATCAGACTGTCCTGCGCATTAGCGGTAAAGTGGAACTGCCAGGAAGATATTTCTGTGGCTACTGCATTAGAAACAATAAGCCTTTGCAATTTTCATAAAAACCTTCTATCCTCCTTGTTCCCGACCTTTTCTCCTCTAATTCCCCAGAAGAATAGATCTCAGACAAGTAAAATACCAGGCAGGACCCAAACCTCTCAGCAGGGATGGGGGACCCTACCAGCTTATTATACTCAATTTCCCAAAATCACATGTCCTCTTGTTCCTGTGAAACTCCACAACGCCTGTGTCATCACTTGAAGTCACTTCCCCATTCATAACATGACTTGAACGTCAGAAATACCATAAATCACATGGGACTTCCTACCTTGAGGTCAAAAAGACACAGGCCATGGAACGAGGAGCTCCTCCTGTATCTATTTCTCTTGCTAATCATAAAGAGTCAATGTCTCTGAGAATGTGCCATCTGCCCTTCTCTGACCATCATCACCACATAGGAACTACAACAGCATACTTACGTGTGGACCAAACTTCACAAGGGAGATGTTGTTCCTGGGGGTGATCTGCCAGGCATTCTTCATGAGGAAGCCAATTGCACTGCTGTACCTGTCTGGAGTTGGCACATATTTTTTGAAAGTGCTCCTGGTGAGATGAATGGGCCCATCATAAATCTGAAAGCCTCTAATTGGAAATGTCCTGTTGAAAGACAAGATTTTGTTTAATGCACGTGGCCCTGTCCCCTTACTGGCACTTCACTTTTATAAATACTGACCAGCTCATATGCACTAAGCAAGATTCTAGGATACGCTGGTAACCAAGACAAGAGCCCCAACTGCATAAAACACATACTGTAGTGGGAAAGACAAACAGAATAACAAAGAATAATTTTACATAATAGGTGACACGAAGACAATAAAACACAGTAATGCAATAGACTGGGTCAGGAGAGAGATGCGATTTGGGGTGGAATGAGGTCTCCCTATAGAGGTGACTCTCTTTTCCTTGAAGCAATTCAGTTAAGATCTTTTACTTGGTAACTCATAAACTTTAGTTTTAGTTCTAAAATCTCTAGGTATAAGAACAAAAGACAAGTCTGTGCTTAAGGAGAGAGAACCTCCTTTCAAGACATTACAGGAGAGTAAAAAGGTGAAGTGACAGACTTCAAGGCACAAAAGCATAACCCCTGAAGGCTTGCTAGGTTAAAGGATTAGCCAGATTGAGAACTGCATTTTATTCATTTTCCTTTCTGTCCAAACACAAACTCCTTAGCCTACTAATCATAAATCATTAACCATAATTAATGTACATAAACTATAATATTCTGAATTACATAGGTTTCTCTCCTATTAAATTCTTTCATGGCATGGCAGGAGGTATCTATAGCAACTACTTGGTTTACAACTTGACAATGTTTTATAACAAAAGCATGTAAGCTTGTGAGAAGGCCACATAGCCTGGTTAAAAAAAATCTGTGCATCAAATGACATGAAGGCTATGTTAACCAGTTTGATGGAAGTGTTTTGGATTGTGTGTGAAAGCCCCACACTGTACCCCAGAAGTGCATTAATGTACACAGTTACCATTCAATTAAAAAAAAAAAATCTGTGCATCATGACATAGTTCTAAGCAAATGTCTCAAAACAGTTCTCCCTCATAGCAAAGATTGTAAAGATAGGGTAAAATAAAAATTGGTTCCATTGATTGGAGAAATTTTTGTTTTAGACAATCCTCCTTAACAAAAAAGCAATAAACAGTTTGAAAAAAAGCTGGAGGTCAACATAAAAAGAGTGGAATTGACTCAGCCACCATGATACGGAGCCTATATCCCAACCACTATAGGGGTTTCTTTTTTTTAAAATCCACATGTCAGGAGAGTCAATCACATCCTAACATCATTTGTAAAACAGGATGTTGACAGTACCTACTACCTTGGGCTTTGTTAGGATTAAAGTATTCAGCACAGGGCCTAATACACCATAAGCATTTTTTAAACTTTATTTTAAATTGTTATGGGTACATAATCATTGTATATCTTACAGTACACATGTGATGTTTTAATAAAGGCACACAATGTGAATTAATCAAATCAAGGTATCTGGAGTATGTTAACTATTAAAAGCTCCGTGAATGTTTCCCAGTGGCTCCCATGGTGTAGCAAGAGTCCTATGGTGCCCAGTACTCCACAACGGTAAGCATGGGCAGAGAAGACAAGCGGAGGCAATCCTCTGCCAGAAACTAGTAAAGCTCTTGCCCCAGTCCTCACTCTCCATACCTTCCCACCTAAGAACCGTACTGTCTGCCCCATTCCCCTGCTTAGTCCAACAAGCCCAGTGCCCAGAGGCAGCGTGTCAGTAAAAGGGTTGATTCTTGAATTTTGGCCCAGGCTCAGAGCTAAGACCTTCAGAACACTTCAACCTTGATTTCCTTCAACCTGATTTTTCTCTCAAGTAAAATGAGGACAACTCCAAAATGTGTCTCAGAACTGACATATGGATTAATGAGTTAATATTTCCCTAAAAGCTTTGAAGAAGTGCTAAGTACCGTTTTAATGAGTCTGTGATTACGATGCCAGAAAAACGTGCCCAAAGCCTCCCTATCACCCTCCAGCTTCCAAAACGCCCTTGAATACACAGCCCCGCAGCCAAGGCTGGGCTTTGAGTCAGCTTTGCCGTCAATCAACCCTCATTTCCTAGGGCTCTTTTAGTAGGTAATTTCCTTTTTCCAGTGGCTATTTCTAAAAACCAACATCATGAATTGAGGAAAACCTGACCTAATGTCATAGTTTATGGTTTGGCAAATTCCTATAACTCAAGAAAGAACAACAAAAAATTTACCAGTTTATGTAAGGTCTTTTAGAAGGATCGAGAAACAAAATGGTTTTCTTTGTTACACTACGTAAACCTTGTAACGAAATCTATGAATATTTAATAACTAGTGTTCCAACATTCCAGGAAGGTAATATACACAATAATCGTAACAGTAGTAATAATAGCAGTAATCAGACAGGAAAAGAGCCACAGTGGGAACCAGTCCATCCAAGAACGTTACATAAATTTCCTTGAGAGTTTGATTTTCCTTTGTTGCTTAAATTTAACACTCTACTTCTAAAGGACTGCTCACCTGTTCCTAGGTAACGTCCGAGGCTTGTGTTCGACTCCTCCAATGCCTGCGTACTTGTTCTGACCACCCTGAAAGCCATAATTCCTGCTCTCCCCAACAAACAGAGATTCCAGGACCTCCTGGCTAGAGCCTTCGTCACTTGGGAAGCTTCCATCACTGTTAAAATAAAAACAAATATTAGCCACACTTCTCGAGAAAATTTAAATTTGTTCCCAAAGGAAGGTAAGCTATAACTTAAAAACTAAAAATTTTAAAAGAAGCCTGTAGTTTTTTCTAATTCATATTATCAAGTCTTCAGAAATTGTGTTAAACTGTGAAGACAGGCCGGGCACAGCGGCTCATGTCTGTAATCCTAGCACTCTGGGAGGAAGAGGTGGGTAGATTGCTTGAGCTCAGGAGTTTGAGACCACCCTGAGCAAGAGGGAGACCCCATCTCTGAGCATTGTGGTGGGCGTCTATAGTCTCAGCTATTTGGAAGGCTGAGGCAAGATAATTGCTTGAGCCCAGGGGTTTGAGGTTGCTATAAGCTATGATGCCATGGCACTCTATCCACGGTGACAAAGTAAGACTCTTTGTCTCAAAAAAAAAAAAAAGAAACCTGTGAAAATACTTCATATAAATAAGTTGTATGCAAACTACATAGAGACATATGATGCTTAATTCATTTATTTATTTGTTGTTGTTATTGTTGTTGTTGTTGTTGCAGTTTGGCTGGGGCCGGGTTCAAACCTGCCACCCTCAGTTTGGGGCTGGTGCCCTACTCATTGAGCCACAGGCGCCGCCACGATATTTAATTTAGCAGAACTGATGCTTTTAGTCTCCAGCAACAGTATAGCAAACAAACTTACTCGGAAGACAATTGAATTACCAGCACATTGAACGTGACAACTAGAATGACTACTACCTAGAGGAAAATATAACATAGAAACAAAATAGTTTTGTTAGTTCTTGAAGTCTATTACCAAACAGAGCAGCTTCTAAAAAGAGAAGATTGGTTTTTAGTCTTCTTCCTACTTTTTACTCCCTTCCTCTTTTTCCCCTATTTCTTAAGAACTTTACTCTAAATCTCGAATGTTTTCTTCTAAATGAAAAATGATAGGCCTACCCTTCTGTGGAATTCCAGCTGTATCAACCTACTACTTTGCTATAAATTCAATTAATCAAGAAAAATGTATTTTTGGCCCTCTAGTGGTATCAGATGGATGTTAATTTTTTAAAAGGCTAAAAAAAGATAAAACATTCCTGTCAGTTATTCCTCCTCCAAAAAAAGAAAATCAAGGGTTATTTTAAAATCACACAGCATTGAAGTAATCAACTGAATATTTTTAAGCAATGACAAACCTCGCAAAGGTCAGTCCTATTCCATTATCCGCAAATCTGAAAGAGAAAAGAGAATGAGGGAATATTTTAATTTATCACATCTTGTAAGAAGAGGTGATTCTCTCACAATGTAATTATCAGGAACTCCAAGAAGTCCCAATATTCACTCTCTCCAAAGCCACACACAAGTTTCCCTTCACAGTAACTAAGAGCACAGAACCTACGATGAGGGTTCCTGGGTCAAATCTTGGCTTTGCCGAATGTTAGCTATGTCACTTTGGGCAAGTTACTCAACTCCTCTCTGCCCCTATTTTCCCATCAACAGGGTAAAATGATAATATAATCTTCTTCATAGAATTCTTGAGCATATTGAATACTAAATACTAAATACTAATACTAAATACTAAATACTAATACTAAATACTAAATACTAAATACAAATACTAAATAATTTCAGATGTTTGGAACAGTGCCTAGCACAGGTGTCCTCAAACTACAGCCCACGGGCTACAGGCAGCCTGCCTACGACATTTATCCAGCCCTCCGGGTTATTTCTGCCACTGCGGCCTGTCCTGCTTAGCAGCTGACTCATTCCGGGGCCCACAGTCCGGCCCTCCAACGGTCTGAGGAAAAGTGAACTGGCCCCCTGTTTAAAAAGTTTGAGGACCTCTGGCCTGACATATAGCAAACAAGTGATAAGTAGTTAGCTAGAATTATTATTTTTATAATTAAAAAAATTGGATCATGGTATACTGTTCAAAACCTTTCAACATGACACCCAAGCCATTTCTACAGATTCTATATAATATCAGTCTTTCTGGATGATAAAAGTCAGAGATGATGGTGAAATGTCAAAAAGCTAAAGTCAGTGCCAGGGGGGCTTAAAAAAAAAACACTTTTTGTGTAAACTATTGACACTACATCTTAGCTCAACATCCGTCAGACCTCTCCTAAAGTTATACAAATGGATAAAAAGGAGACGCTTCCTGCCTCAAGTCATGTTAACATGTAAGTCAACAGACTTATTCAGGTGGAATTATACAGCTTTTGTTTTGAATGGCAAGGAAAGAGCAATCAGAAATACTTTAAAGAGTTTCCAAGAGGAAGGAAAAAAATCCAGGTAGCTTAAAAATCTTTATTTAGCTCTCTGACATAGACCATGCTTGTTGTAGAAAGTTAAATTCCCAGTTTCTGTTCAATCTCATCAGAAACTCTCATGTCACCAGACAGGGGCAGTTCCAATAAAAGCACCCAAATGAGACGATTCCAAACATTTGCAGTCTGTTAACTCTAGCATACTTCCTCGGAGTGTGTCCCGTCTGTTAGTAATAATAATATGATTCCTGGAACCACCACTGAACTTCCATTCTACTGGCTTAAAAAAAAAAAAAAAACCCTTAAAAATAAACACACCAGTGTCATTATATAACTTTGCGGAGAATACCCACGCTGAATTCTGAACGATAATGTCTCCTCCTCTGACCCAAGCTCCATGATCATTATTTTTAAAAGCGATGAGCCTGTCAATTAGAGCAGCAACACGGGGCTTTTCAGGGTCTGCATCCTGATGAGGCCGAAACCTGGGGTTTAAAAAACAGTTTTTTTTTAAAATAAAAAAGCAATAAAAGTTGACTATTTATAAGTTTAAGAGTCAAGAAGTAAAATTTAAATTTGACCAAAACAAACAAATTACAAGATTTATATTTCAAACATTTTTAATTACATTTATTTACACACGAGTTTCCAGAGAACTGCTGTCATAGTTCATTTTTAAAACCAAATTATACAATGGACACTGCAGAACAGAAGTGTGAAAATCATTTCCAAACCAAAAAAAAATTTTTAAAAAGAAACTAAAAAGAAAAAAAAAAAAACCTCAGACCAATCTGGAATATCTTCAAAAATTCTCAAGCTACATATTATTAACATAAACGTATTCAATAAATTAATCATGTATTTGAAAATAATACATGCAAACTCAAGTATGATTGGAGTTCTGTGCTAGTTAAATGTTTTAGATATAGACAAAACTGGGCTCAATATCTTAAAAATACCTAAACTTAAAATAGGCTGTATTTAATTAACTCAACTAAATTTTACTTTTTCTTTCTCTTCTTTCTAAAACACTTACAAAGACCTTAAAGAGAAGGTCAAAAAAACTGACATCAAAAACTATCCACTATAACAACTCAAATGACCCCATAGGGCCATCTATTAAAAAAAAAAAGAGGCTAGGGAAGAAAATATACAAACTGCATAGCATTTCTTGTACACAGCAGGTGTTCACTCAATGTACACAGATGGCAGAAACAGCTAAGCACAAAGAAGAAGAGTGCAAATGTCCTTCAGTGTGAGTGAACTTAGCATGGTCAGCAACAACAGGCAAGTTGACTAAAGCAAGGGAGAGAGCAGGGAGAGACGGAGAGGTGGAAAGTGCAGGTAAAGATGTAAGTCTTCATAGGAAATGCCATGGAAAGCAGATGGAAGCCTGAAATCAAGGAAGTAATGTGATCAATTTTTTTTTCTTATAACAATGACTGGCTACTATTTGGAGAAGAGCTTCTAGAGAATGGACTAACAGGAGGTTCTCAGTGTATTTCAGACAGATGGTAGAGGAGTATTCTCAGTGTATTTCAGACAGACAGTAGAGGGGTACACAGGGGCAGTAGCAGTGAAGATTGTATGACCCAAGTCCCCTTATGCTAACTAGCTCTGACCTAAGGTAAAAAGTCTAACTCTGAGCCAACTCTACTCTTCTGGCATTGTAGCTACTGCCAGGTAGCTTTATAGCCTGTACATAACACCAAGCAGGTGAAAGAGCTCGAGGAAGGAAACTACACAATGTTCTAAAAGAAAGCCAAAAAAAAGAAAAGAAGGAGGAGAAGAAGAAAAAAGGAAAGG